GCTTGTAATATTTTTTTTTATCTTCTTCAAATTAACTGTTAAAATTACAGCCTTTCATTTAATAGATCTTTCTGCGAGTCTTTTTAACTAAGATTTTCATCTGTTTGCTTCACTGGCAAACATTTTTCCCTTCTTTACTTCCACTAACCCTGTAGGGTCCACTTGAGTAAAAGAGACTGACTCTCTCCTCAAGCATCCTTGCTCAAGGGATCCTTAGTACTCTCTGAGAGGTGCACAACTTTGTGTAAAAGTCACTTCTGTCCAGAAATTTATTCTTTGTGTAGATATCTAAAAACAAGCACACAACTTTAATCTCAGAGTGCAAATGGAATTTTTAGGGCTGAAAATGAAAAGAAACATCGATTTATTTATATTCTAAGAACATAGGAAGAGCACTAAATAAACATAAACCCAAGACTAAACAGGAAACCATGCAATGCAAAGAGGAAAATTAATTTCTCACTGGTAGAGACTGAAGCCATTCCAGCAGCTATAATGATGAATTTTATCTTGGCAGTCCCTGTCACGCTGTTGGCTGCAGAAGGATCTGAGACAACCAGTTGAGGATAGGAGCACACCTCTGTGATGGCTGGAACAAGTGGGATGAAGCTCAGCCTGAAAGATTTAAGAGTCTAAGTCCATTTTTCGTAGTGAAACATTCAGTGAGCCTGCCATTCCTAAGTAATTCTTGAAAGTAGGGCTTGGACTCTTGCCATGATGAATGAAAGTCCTAAAAATACCCCAGTGATTTATAAATATCCTCCTTGCTATTTGTGACTTGTTAGTACCCAAGTCTCTTTGAAAGTGGCATTTAAGCTTCTCAGTCATAGAGTTATCAAGAAGGAACTCAATTAATATCTCGTCTATCCAAGACAGGATTTACTCAAACTATCTCTGACAGATACTTGTCTAACCTGGTCTCAAAATCCTCCTGTGACAGACATCCCACAGCCTCCACAGGCAAACTATTACTGTACTGGACTATCCACATCAATAGTAAGTTTTTCCTAATGTGGAATGTAAATCTCCCGTGCTGTGGTTTAAGCCTATTACTTGTCCTGTCCCTTGTGGACATTTCATAGCCTTTCAGATATCTGAATAGCATAATCATGTATTCCCTCATTCGTCTCTTTTTAGCCTTAGTTGAGGCTAAAAAATGTCCCCTTAGGCACTGAGAAAATTTTTACCCAAAGCCAGCTTATAAAGTAGAGCTGCTTTGTTAATGCCTTTATCAAATAGCAATTTCAGGATAAAAGTGTAGTGTAATGGCATATGGCAGGAAAGCCTGATACAACTGCACTCACTTCAGAGATTTTGTGGTTTAAATGGAGATTTGAGGTTATATCATTTGCCCAGCTTTTTTACGTACTGGGATGTCAGTACTGGGATATCAAAGTCAAAGAAAGTAACTACCTTATTCAAGTTACTCTTCTGATGTGTTGCTTCTGCAGCTGAGGCTTACCTCTCAGCACAGAGTTGCATGTTGCCAGAGGGACTGAACAGCTCACTCACAGCAACTTATCACTTTCTGCAGCACTGCAGGCTTTCTGAAACCAGGTCTACCTTATTCCTTTATACAGCATCAAGCAGAATAAAGCCTGACCTAGTGATGTCCAGGCCCCACAGATAAAGTTATGGTTAAGATACAAGTATAGATGTTAAATAATAGTACTTTGCCTGACGCAGTTTCCAGCCTGTGTAAACCCCTTTTTCCTACCCTTTTTGACTGACAAGGTTTGGAAAGTTAGTATTCATCTTCTGGCACTTCAGTTAGGAGGCATGAAAGAGAGTTTGTGCAGATTTTACTTCCTTGTATTTTCAGAAGTAGAATAGAACCATAGAATGATTTAAATTGGAAGTCCAGCCATCAACTTGACCATACATCCAACATGAACCATAGTAGCAATCCTTACTGTTTTATTCTGCTGGATGCCTGTATTAAAAACAGTGTGACCAGCAGGTCCAGGGAGGTGATTATCCCCCTGTACTCGGCACTGGTGAGGCCGCACCTCGAGTACTGTGTTCAGTTCTGGGCCCCTCACTATAAGGAGGATGTTGAGATTCTGGAGCGTGTTCAGAGAAGAGCCACAAGGATGGTGAGGGGTCTGGAGACCAAGCCTTATGAGGAGCGGCTGAGGGAACTGGGGTTGTTTAGCCCGGAGAAGAGAAGGCTGAGGGGAGACCTCATCACTACCTACAACTACCTAAAGGGAGGTTGTAGAGAGGTGGGTGCTGGTCTCTTCTCCCAGGTGATGGAGGATAGAACAAGGGGAAACGGCACCAAGCTGTGCCAAGGGAGGTTCAGGTTAGAGACAAGGAGGAAGTTTTTTGCTGAGAGGGTTGTCAGAGGCTGGAACAGGCTGCCCAGGGAGGTGGTGGAGTCACCATCCCTGGATGTATTTAAAGAGTGGGTAGACGAGGTACTTAGGGATATGGTTTAGGGGGTAGACAGGAGCGGTTGGACGTGATGATCTCGGAGGTCTTTTCCAACTGAGCGATTCTGTGATTCTGTGTGATTCTGTGATGGAGAAATGCAGCTTCAAGAGCACACCCACTTTATGCCTACCTACCTTTGGGTATCAGCATCCAGGAGGGGGGTAGAAGGACCATCAAAAAATAGCACTATAGTCACCAAAAGCAGCAAAATGAGTTTTGTTTTTGCGTTTCTTCTTTGAATATATTCCTAATGTTTGCATGTGTCAGCTCTGCTGAGGTGGCATCTCAGGTTTTAAATTAATATTGTTGTAATGCATTTCTCTTTAATTAAAAAAGAGAGCTCCCCCGTAGGAAATTTCCTAAAACAAAACTCATTAGTAATAAACAGATTAAATCTTTATCAGTTAATCAACACTATAAACTTCTGAGTGTTCGGAGAGCAGTGTGAGATAACACTGTCGTCATAATAAGAGCGCTTGAAATCATTAGGGATCCCACCATGCCGTTTGGGTGGTGAGAAAATAATGATTGAAGATGGGCCCCCCTACAGAGCTCATGTGTGAATTCCCCTGAAGATTAAAGCTGCAAAGATCTGGATTTTATGTTGGCCCCATCTCTAAAGCGTTTGTTTTAAAATAGTGGGCAATCGTGGGCAATAACAACCTAATTCTTAATGATGTTGATACCAGAACCTGTCACAATGCCACAGAATTTTGAGCTGGTGGTTGGTGAAATTTTAGGGACTGTTCATGGGATGGAAGCCTTGCAGCTGTTCCCAGCTGATCTCTCTGAGGCTTTAACTGTGGTGGAGACTGCATTGCAAATTCCTCATCATCCTCCACCTTGAATCCTCAACAGAGTCACTTCCATCATGGCTATGGCAATCCTCTCATCACACACGTATGGGACTTCTGCTCTGGTCCAGCTGTCTCCTGGGGATAAAGAACCCAACCTGCTGTGCAGGTGGAAGGGACCATGTAGCTTATGGCAGGGACCTCTCTGAAGAAGGTTGGGCATACTGGAGCAGGACAGGACAAAACTTGTCTGGCTGGTAGTGTACCAACAGCTCCTAACTCGGCATAATTTGGAGTCATGCACATTTAGAAATTTATGCTATAAAAGCACTGACATTTTCTCCATCACTACTGGGAATGTGTCAGAGCTTCTCTGTGTAACCCTAGGGGGTTCCTTGGAGCCACTGAGATTATTTGGGTCCTTTCCATGAACTCTATAAAAATTCAAAGTAAGTGGGCTGGAAGAAAAATAGGGGCAGTGAGAAAAATAAATCACGTTTGTCTACATCCAGCAAACTTACTGAAATGAGTTAGCAAGAAGTTATGAGCAGGGGAATGGTAACGGGGAGCCATACATAATTATTGCCTTTTCATTTCTCATCTTTCATCTTTATTTGGTCCCTGCAGCAAAAGTTGCATGTGTTTTGTCCCAGAAGGGTAAAAGTAAAGCAGTTCTGTTGTAGCATGAATTATAACAGCAGCAGTGATATTATCAAATGTGTTAAGTTTGGAGCGCCCTTGTTCTTTAAAATACACATTGAAGGTTAGGTGACACTGCTGCCTCCAGAGGTCTAAATTCAAATACTGTGCTGGAGTACAAGTGAATTGGCCATTCTTATTTTATTCTCCATATATATGTGTTGTATTACAAAACACAACCTGCTTGATAGATGCCTGGTCTGGAAAAACAAGAGTCCCAATTCCTGCCCCTTTATTAGAATTGAACCTATAGATAACTGTAAAATAAAATTTAAAAAGTAACCCGTATGGATGGTCCTATTTAAAAGGCAGGAACTGAACTGCACTGATTAATTTCAGAGAAACTGGGGGCTGTTTCTGTTGAGAAATCTTTAGCTACCATGGCACTATCACTTTTGAAAATCAGATGGTAGTTGTCCTCACTGTTCTATCACTTGTTCCAACTGGACATCTGTGTGCAAAAAATCACAAAATTTTAAAAACATCCCTTTCCTTTCCTCATATTGTGATATATCTTCACGTACTATATTTTCAAGCATATTTTGCAGGGGTAAATTGTTTGTAACAACTTTCTTTGTGTTCATAATTACAGTCAGCTCTGTTACCTGTGAATTAAAACCTTTTATTAAATGCCTTTATGAAATGCTAGGTACAGATTTACTGGGAGGGCAATGAGAGGATAAAAGAGCTGTTGCATTCTTATTAATAGCTGCATAATGCATTTCTGTGTTTGAGACTGCTTCTGCCTTTGTATCTTATTTGCTCATTTGAAGAAAGAAGCATGGATACTTCTTGTTTCTAAATACCGGGGTGAAAGATTGCTTTCTATCAAGAGACCAAATGCTCTGGCTTGGCAAAATGGACAGCTCGCAAGGGTCCATATGATCCTTCTGATCATACAGCTTTCCTACAATACTGTTTCTGTCATTCACAGCGTGGGTGACCTTTGGATCTCAGTGGAAGGGTCTTTAACTCCCTGCTAAAAAAGGAGAACACATCCCATGATTATCATAATTTATCTGTTCATCCTGTCCCCCTTACTTTTTCTTTTCTCCTTTTTTTTCTTTTCAGGATGGAGTAGGTGTAGATGAGAAGCTGTCTTTACGGCGGGTAGCCGTCGTAGAAGATTTCTTTGACATTATCTATTCCATGCATGTTGAAACTGGGCCTAATGGAGAACAAATCAGAAAACATGCTGGACAAAAGAGAACGTATAAAGCAGTAAGTAAAAAAAAAACTAAAAGTGAACATCAGTCTGTAAAAACATGAATTATTTGGGTTTATTTACATGGCATGTGATTTGTGTTTTTTCCAACTGGATTAGTACTGGAAGCACCCCTTTCAAATTTATTTCAGAGCTCATTCAATAATGCATGAAAATATATAGTTTAAAAATCACATTTTCTGTGTAATAAAGGACAGATCCATTGACTTCAATAGAGATTTTCCCATTGGAACAAGCAGAGAATTTATTCTTTCTATAATGGTTTGACAAATTCTCTAATAACTCTGTATTAATTGTTATTAAATGGATGAAGTCTTAAGATTCAGAAGGTATTGTCACAACTTTGCTAAATGAGGTGCTGTACTTCGGCATATCAGTGAAGTTGCCTTATATTTTATTGCTGCAGACTAAGCATACTTAATGGTTTAATGGTATGAAAACTTGTAAATATCCTAAATTCAAAAGGGTGGAAAGCTACTAGGTACAATGAGGGAAATATTGACAGGGCAGCTGTCACACTTGCATAAACCAGCTGAGTAGAGACAAATGATTATTTCTAAGTTTTTTAATTGCATGTTGTTGCTTGACCTAACCAGTTCAGCCACTGCCTTAAAATAACTATAAATAGCTTTTGTGGTTAGTGGCACAAATACAACTCTTATGGAGACCTAATGAAACAATTACTGCACCTTCCCAGGGTGCTTAAAATGCATGTGCTTGCCTGGATTTGGATGGCCAGACTTTCATGGGCAGGGCTGTGATAGTGCCAGGCACTCTCAGCGCTTGATCCTGATCCACCTGCCCAGCTGTTTCCAGCTGCTGAAGCACCAGGGGCTCCACCAGGGCAGCAGGGCAGGTACTCCCAGGCAGGGCCCATCCCACAGCCCTGGCCAGGGTGGAGGGCATCCGAAGCACCTTTCCCCTTGGCCCCAGTAGGACAAGGCTGGTGGGGTGCTGTGCACAGGGCCTTGAGGTGACTTGTCACCCTGAGCACCATATTCTTCACCTTAGAAAGAGTCTGCATTCATGTCGGTTGTTTTTTGTCAAAGGTCACCAAAATGTGGGGGAACTCCAGGTTTCTGATAGCCACATCTTCAATTTTAGCCATAAGAAGTAGGTATTTTCCCATTACTGTTTGTTTTTCAGGTATATAACAATCTATGAAACTCTTCACAGATACTTTATTTATAGGCTATTTCAGACGGTTTGTTGTGAGATAAGCTCTTGGCAAATTTTCTTATAATTTGTTCCCAGCGGTATTGACCTTAAGATAGATATATGAAGGAAGACATCAGTCATCTGGGTGTGCTTTTGTAAGATTTGGAGTGGTATTTCAGGGTGAACAAACACAAACTGTCTAAATTAATTTTCATCTGTTGCCTTGGCCATTTTGATACTCCCTGCTCTCTTTTAGAAAGCATTAGAAAAGTAATACTTTTCATTGACCTTTCTGTTTTGTTTTACTTCAGTAAACCATTCAAAGGTATAGGTCACAAACTTCTTAGAATAATATACAAGTATAAGGAATGCTGCCAACTATAAGTACAATACTTCAAGTCATCCTCCTTCAAATACATGCCAAGTATAATATTTGCTACCGTAAGAATCCCGTGATTCCAGGTCAGATAAGAAATCTGTTTATTGTGAACAGCGTGAAAGACAACTAGTGTCTCTTCTGTGAGGAGAATTATTTGTGCAGATTGAATAGCCTACATAGTATCTTCATTTGATGTCAACTTTTATTTTGCAATTGAGACCTGAGCTTATTATGTTGTTCTGAGCAGAGGATAAGGATGCCTGAATATAAGTTTGTATCATTACCAGTGTCTGCAATATTCGTGCATCCATTTCATTGCATATTAGCTTACTAAGGGCATCGAGTCATATTTCCCAAGGACAGGATTCACATATATAATTTTTAAGACTTCCATGAATTAAGAAAGAAAGGAAAAAAAGACCCCATAACAAACTAATGTAAACTCTTGTTCTCTATCCCAACATAAGAATTAGGTTAAGTAAACAGGACTCAAACTCTACCAGTCTAACTGCGGAAATGCATTCTCCTTTACTGGACCCGTCCATGAAAATGCCTCCACTAAAACTGATGAGCTATAGTGTCTGTGTGTTCCAGCAAGCTATGCAGTATCTATCTCCTCTGTGGCATTGCAGAAGGAAAGAGGTAGTATCTCGGGTAGCTGTCTCACAAAACATTATACCCTAAGAGCTTTATAAATCAAACTGAAGCACTTTGACGGGGTTTAATTTTATTGAGTGAATTTGGAACAAGATTAATTTAGTCTTGTTTCTTCATTCACATGTCACAAATGCATCATCCTTGAGAACTGTGAATGTATTTATGATGTGTAAGTATTCACCAAATAGTTTAAGTGAAGAATTTTTACAGGAAAGGCGGTTCACAAACTGTATGCTACAACTGATATTTGTTATTCATAATTCCTAGCATGTGATGATTACATTGCTTCTGCTCTATGACTGGATAACTGAAACATTTTAACAGAGAAATGATAGGGAGAAAACCACCACAATTTTGGTACAAAATTGCTAAACTTCTGAAGTTGATAAATATTGTAATGGATTTTCAGTACCTCAGTATTTCTAAAAAAATAATGCTGCAGTCCTAAGAACTGCAACATAGTGATTTGAAGTAATTAATTTGATTATATATTTGTGAGTCTCTATTTTCAATAGTGAACATGCTCCACTCAAAATTTTGAATAGTACTCAAGCATGATTAGAAGGGTAATGAAATTGTCAAAGGTGACTTAATTAACTACTGTTTGCATTTATACAGAGTAACAGAATAGAGAGAATCTGTTTAATTTTTGATAGTCACCCCAGATGCTGGAGCGCTAAAATACATCAGTATGTCTCTCTGAAAGCGTCTTCAGAACAGCTTGTAAACTCAATTAGTGAATCTGTAATCTGCACTGACTTGTTTATGTTAACTGTGTGGAAGCGAATGGCATTTTTACAACTGATTTCTGCAGGACTTCCTATGGTAGTGGTGCACAGGAAGATAAATAGGATGCGGTGCTTGGTACCTCCAGGAGAGCAGCATGTTGGAAGGGAGCCTTTGTATTTTAATTGGGGCAGCAAGGTACCAAACTCAGACTTCATGATTTCTTGGCACAAACCCTATAGCTTAATTAGGAAAGCACCTTTGCTTCTATATTTAAGTTTAGACTAAGGTCCCATTTTCTTCTCTGCACACTAACAACTCAGAAGGGAATTATACAAAGTGTATGTAGATGCTGTGGGAGAGTAACCTTGAAAATATGTAAAAATGAGTGAACTTCCCGTTTAACTGACAGATTCTGTGCTCATTTCAAGTGCCCAACTTGTATACAAGATAAGATGGATGGGTTGTGTTCCTTGTCAGCATAATTAGGTAGATCTACATCAGCAGAAAAAAGAGACCTGGTTTATGCATATATATAAAATGAAACCAAGAACTTTCAGTCATATCCAGAGTACAGCAGACTGAAGGCATACTGAAAGCAATGTTTATAATCTCAGCTAGTTCCCCAGTTCCCAGGGAAGCTGACAAACAGGGAAGACGCTGAAGGCCTTGATCTGGGAGATAATTCCCTCACAAAGGCAGGATATGTGACACAAGGCCTGGCTGAGTCGGTGGCTCAGCAGGGGCACAGGTGACCAGGAAGGTGTGGGAGATAAAAAGTGCATGTTCCGTGATGCCAAGGAAAGCAGTGGTGCCCAAACAGGTCCCTGCTTGTCCTGCATTTCACCTGAGTCCTCTGCTGGGCTCCATAGGAGGTGAAGTGAAATGTGCTGGTGCAAGGAATTGGTTAAGCAGTTGGAAGAATGTACTGAGGAGCCTCATAGGAGTGACTCTAGCACTCGCTGCTACAGCTCAGTGTCCTAGGGGAACTTTTCACTCTCTGTCCTTGTTTTTGTATAGACTTATTTTTGTATAGTCTCCTGCAAGGAGAACTGTGGTGTCAAAGTGGAGACAGGGACGCACAGGAGAGAAGCGTTCAGGAAGAGAATCCATCTGGTGTATTGGAAAAGGCATGCAACAAGTGCATTCCAGGCTCTCTGTGCCTTTGTGGAAATGCATTTCTATTCAGTTCTGTCTAAAATTTAAAATTCAAGTGCTGAGGGGCATATCAGAGGTGGGAGTAACTGCGAAAAGTTGTGGCTAAAGTAGCAGCATAATGCAGCAGGCTCAAGCTGTTAGGACAACTCTTTGTGATTCAGCACAAACCAGGAAAAAAAAACCATCCTTATTACATTTTTCAAGAAACTCAAATGGTCTGTGATGTGACTGAAAATGGAAAACATCTCTGCCTCTCTCAGGCCCTGCTATGGGTACGGGTAGGCCACATTTAATGATCAAAGCCCTATATTTCAGAGTAGATTTGATTACTTTCTTTAATATTCTTGAAAAAGAAGTTAGATTTTCATTCATTTAAACAATCGAGTAAGTGCCTTACCTTTGTATGTTATATCTTAACAAAGTTTCCCATAACTAAGTGCATCATATATCCAAGAACTGTTTGTATAAGTCTTGTAGCCATCTTAAGCACCTTAAATTCTATGTGCATATTGTACTTATATTAATATTTTTACCAGTGAAGGATGATCTCGTATCTGCCTTTTGAGCCTGCATAGCCACTGTGCAAAGCCTTGAAACGTTACAGCAGTGAACTTGAGTTGTGAGCGAGGGTTGTGATGTCTGAGCAGGAGAAATGGATCAGTTAATAAAACTCCCAACCCATGAATGAAGAAAGAGCACTGGGCTGATGAGCCAGAAGAGAAGCAGGCTTCTAATACATGGGGGAGATATTGATGTGTCAAGGGAAAGTAGCTTGAGGCAAGACTGATCAGGTAGGTAGTACATAAATATATAACATCTGAGGCATAACAGGAGTCTATTAGATGTGGGGCAATATCTGGGGTCCTGTGTTTCATCCAGCTGTTGCAGAAATAAGTGTTTCTTCATTTAAAATTAGGC